CCTGCTCGCTGTGAGGCAACAGCGCTACCCACCGCGCCACCGTGCTGCCGTCCAACTTTATCAGTTCAGGAAAATTTACCTCCACCAATAAGATGTATCCAGTGGGGCAAAAAAGTATGTAGTCAGCCACCAATTGTACAAGTTCTCCCACTTAAAAAGATGAGAGAGGCCTGTAATTTACATCATAGGTATACTTCAGCTATGAGAGACAGAATGAGAAAAACAAATCCAGAAAATCACATTGTCTGATTTTTAAAGAATTTATTTGCAAATTATGGTGGAAAATAAGTATTTGGTCACCTACAATCAAGCAAGATTTCTGGCTCTCACAGACCTGTAACTTCTTCTTTAAGAGACTTCTCTGTCCTCCACTCGTTACCTGTATTAATGGCACCTGTTCATCAACACAGCTTCCACTGTGAGCACTGAAAGCTATGCTGCATCTTATTTCTCCTTGGATGGCAGGAAGCTAATCTGCGCAGCCCTTACAGGCGGCCAGCAAACACCTGTAACTCAAGGGAGACAGACAGGGACAGAAAAAGAACAAAGAACATTTTTACCTGATGATGATGCTAGATGACAAGTCAGAGGCTTAACAAAGTAATTACAATATAACTTCTAAGCATAGGTGTGATGCTGCTGGAGTGCACCGGAAAAACACACCGCCACTTTTTTTTTTTTTTTTTTTTACAAAGAGAGAAAAAAGAATAGCATAAGCATAAACTTTATTGCCAAGTATTCAAGGAATTTGACTTCAGCCCAGTGGCCCCCGATGTGCACAGCAATATAAAATCTGAATAAACCAAAACCACAAGTAAAAATGTCCAAACATAATGTACATTAGTACATTGTTGCACAGTGGTGTTTACTGCATCCTACCATGCCATTAAAAATAGGCTAACTGTTCATACAGCGGGGCAAATAAGTATTTGATACACCACCGATTTTTCTAGTTTTCCCACTTACAAATGGACAGATCTGTCATTTTCATTGTAGGTACACCTCAACTGTGAGAGACAGAATCTAAAAAAAAA